CAGTCATATATATATATATGACTGAATTTCTTTTCTAACAAGCGTTTCATTTAAATGTGGCTTTGCTTCTACCTGGTTGCTTTTCTCTCCTGCAGTGTAGTGGCGATTGGAGTCAGGGAAGTGGATGTGACAGGATGTGACCTCCATCACCTTTTTGATGTTCCCACCACCTTTTCCGATGACGTGGGAGTGCTCTGTGTACGCCACGTCCATTTTCAGAGTCACTTTGTTATTCTGGTGTTTAAATTCACATAAAAAGTAGGACTTGTCTTCATACAATGTTGGGTGTTAAACAATGTGATGTTTTTGCAATTTTTTTTTTATGAGTGTTCACAATTTTTTTGTTAAAACACGTGTACAGGCATGCATTTGTGTTTTGCTGACAGTGTTCACCTTGGTTTCCAGCATGTCTAGTATCTTTTTTGTGGCTTCCATGACGTTAGCTCTCCTCCCTTCCACCTTTACATGTGGATCTAGATGTTAAACATGGATTTCAGTGTCAAACATTTGTCTATATATTAGTAAAGTAAACCAGTTTGTATGAAATTTTAAAAAAGAAGTGACCAAGGGTGGTGGTCAAGTATTTATAAATACAGGAACCATATTCCAACTATCAAGGGATTATGCTTCTCAGTCTGTACAGAAGGATTTACTCAAGGGTGTTGGAAGGGCAGCTCCAAACTTTGGATTTAGGAGGAGCACTGTGGCTTTCACCCCCGAGTGGAACATTGGACCAGATCTTTACCCTTGTCAAGTTGCTATGGGGGTCGTGGCAGTTTGACTTTCCAGTGTTTTGTGGATCTGAAGAAAGCTTGTGACTGTGTTCTTAAAGCATTCTGAAGCGGCGCTGGCAAAGCATGAGATGCTGAGGTGGGTCGTTTTTATGAACTATCTGGTCCATGTATAACTGAGGCAAGAGCTGTGTCTGCATCCTCAGCACCAAATCAAGCTCTTTCTCAGAGCTGGTATAGGCTCTAAGTAATGAGGGTGTTGCTTCAGTCTGTCATGGTGAAGAAAGCATTTAGCTAAAAGATTAAATTTGCAATTCACTGGTCCAGCTACATTCCAATCTTCACCTTTGGTCATGTTGTCTGGATGGATCATCATCAGTGAAAAACCAAAGCCCCAGATACAAAAGGCAAAGTACTGCTGTATTTCTCGCTGTATAAGTCACAGTTTTTTGCATAAATTAGCATGCCTGTGACTTATACAGTGAAGCGACGTATGTATTTGTTTTTTTTCCCATCTTTATAACTCAATTTTTGCTGAGATCTGACGATTTTATTCATTCTGACATGGAAAATATTGAGCACTACCATTTTAAGCCACTAGAGGGCTTTCGAGTAAAATGGCAAGCCAAGTGTCTCATTAATAGGTAAAAGTGCCTATTAATGAGACACTTGGCTTGCAATACCAATCCACCTTCGTCTCGCTCCGCAACTCCTGGAGCAAACGTGAAATCAGCTTCATTTCACCTCGCCGCCCAGGTGAAATGCAGCTGATTTGATCGTCAAAGTGCATTTATTAAGGAAAAGTTCAACTGAGACACACCTTTACTATAATTTTGAGCAAACAAATAATTGTTGTTAAGTGTTAATCTTGTTAAATTCTTGTTAAAGTCCTCCCGTGCACACACCCGCAGCCGCCATTTAGCAACCAATCAATTTTTGGCACAGCACCGGCCCACATTTCCGGGTTGTCAGCAGTGACGCATAACAAACACGACGCATCAATGGTGACACTTAATAGATGCAACTTATATGGTGAAGTGACGTATTCATATTTTTTCCCACTTTATTAGACATATTCATTCAACCTTTACTTATACAGGTTAGTCTCATTGAGCCTCGAGGACTCATTTACATATCTGGACTGATGCGTCTTATACGGCGGTGTGACGTTTAAGGTGGCAAGTACGGTAAGTAGAACCATTGGGTGTGAAATTATTGCTCAGCAAGGAGGGCCTGCTCCATCATGTATGAGCAGTGTTGTATAAAATACCTCAAAGTGATACTTAAGTGAAAGTAAAAGTATCTTACCATAAAATTACTTTTGTAAAATTTTAAATCTCCTTTAAAAATTATTGCTTGAATAAAAATCTTAAAGTATCTGACATTTAATGTACTTAAGTATCAAATGTAAATTTCTCATATAAAATGTACTTAAAGTAAGAGTATTAAGTAAAAGTGTTAAGAGTTTCCGAAACAACATTTATTGGGTGTAATATCCAATGACAAAAACTTGGAAAGTTTGAATTAAACAATGAAAGATTTCCTCTCTCTCCAGTAGTGTGCAACGGTAAATGTGAGAGGGGTGGAAAAACTGAACTTGTCTTTACTGGAATGAGGGTGAGTACCATATTTTCTGCTGTAACTGTCGCACCGCCCTATAAGTTGCATCTGTCCAAATATGTCTAAGAAAGTGGAAAAATCCATAAATATGTCTCTTTGCTATATGCGTCACATCTATTATGCGTCACCACTGACGCTTCGCGCTTGTTACACATCACAACCCAGAAATGTGGGCCGAACCCAGAAATGTGGGCCGAACCCAGAAATGTAGGTAGGGGGACTGTGGCAAAATGATTGTGTCATTAGATTCTCAGTCATCCACGACATGGTAAATTCAGAAAAGTTCAAGACAAAAACAATAAAGTATAATAAATAAAGTCCAGTTGTTTTTGTGTTGAACTTTTTTGTCATTATAACCACATTCATCTATTACATGATACAACGGCATGCCTTACAGCTATTAATACTCTGCTGCCATCTTGTGGCTGAAAATGGTACAGTTCAATTATTTTATTTTTTTTTTTGTTAGAAGGAATGAAAACGGTCATATCTCAGCCAAAAATTGGTTTATAAATATGGGGAAAAAAATCCATAAATATGTTGCTTCGGCCTATAAGTCACAGGGCATGCCAATTATGCAAAAAACTGTGACTCTTAAGCCAAAAAATATGGTAATTAACTGAAGCTATAAAGGAGTTGTTCATCTTCAGAAGAAGTTTTTTTGTTTTTTTTTTTGCTGTTGGTGTTGTTTAATATCAGACTTATAGCACTTCCTAATAGTAAAATAAATATATAATACGGATGGAGGTATTTCCTCCATTGGTTTATAGAAGGAGTTCAATCAGTGTGTACACTGTACAAAATAAATGTCACAAAAATGAAATAGTTTTTTCCTGCAAAACCAAAAACACGTGCACTCAAAAATCAAACAGAAAACATAGAGCAAATAAAGAAAGGGTGACTTGCTCTTTAAAAAGTCTGATTATAATGAATTATATTCATTCAACCTTTATTAACCTTTATTAACAAAGCTGTTAGAAAGTCACATTGTTGTGTAGTTGGCTTCTTTACTGAGCTCGGTTCTGTTTGGTTATGGCTTGTTTCTTTCAGAATATAATAGTTCCTATGCTCTTGAAAGCAACGTGGCTGTTCTGATGCTAGTGAAAGCACCGCTCTGTGTAAAGTGCTGTGCTCAGCAGTGTTGCCAAGTCCGCTTATTATAAGCGACTTTGGGCTTGTTTTTTTTTTCCTAAAGTCACTTGCAAATCTTGTGAGTCGCTGGTTGCAGTTCGTTTTTAGCTTATTTTGAAAATGAAGTTGCTTATTTGGGCTTGACTTTCTTTCCGAGTGAAACTAGTTGATTATCTCTTAGCGCCACACAAAAAACAAATGGTAGTAGATAGTTTGTCCCTTCCATGCCCCATTTTCTTGTTTGTCACTCCCACCCAAGTTGGCAAGGCAACAGGCGCACTGTCATTGTGTCAGTCGCACCCATACTGTGGCCGACCACTAGGGGGCTCCACAGGTAAAAGCTATTTTTCCATCTTTTTCATCTGTACCAGGCTAATTTTCCCACATGTAATTTTTGTGTTACGCACACGGCTGACGATCTAATTTGGATCATCACCAGTCGCGCTGACCGGCCAGTTAAAAGATGTACAAAGAAGTCCAGATGGATGGCTGCCAGACACACCTGAAGCTTTCCAGCCACTGCGTCCGCGGACGCACGCGAACGTTTAAAAGAACAGAAAAGAACCAAGAGTCCAGATGGACGCCAGCGACGCAGCTACATGACGTTTTCCAGCCGCTGTGGACGTGTGCAACCGACGACCGTTGATAACTAAAATAACTATAATATTATAATGAGTTGCTTCACCGCTGCCCACCCCGCTGCCCTCAGTTCCATTCCACCCAATCCGCGGTGGTGGAATTAATAAAATAAGACTAAGAACAGCAGGGCAGGCGGTGGTGGACTCCATCACCACCCGCTCCACTATTCTTAGGCTTATATTTTACGTGACGCATGTTTCTTTCGTTTTTGCAGCTTAATAATAGTTTTGCTTTTTCTGACTTATTTGCAGTATGATAAACTGTAGGAACATAAATATATGTCCAATGTTTTGTTGCTCTTGTTTGTTTTGTAAATAATAAATTACATTTTTTTGCTTTTTTTTTTTTTGCAAATATGATGTAGCGTCTTGAGTTCCTATGATGTCATCAACTAGTCGAAATCGACTCGACTTTTATCATGTTAAAGCCGACTTTTAAAAATATGTAGTCATTTAACTCCTACTGGTGACATATTCAGTAACAGCCATATGCATAGCAATTTAACTTATATTAAATGAAAAATGTTAAATGTTATTTATTAGCATTAGTCACCTGCGATGCTGTCTCACTTGTGGAGGCTTGTTCCAGGTTCCTAGCTGCAGTGTGGGATCCTCTGCACTCCTGTGCATGAAGGACAGCCTTTTTAAGATCAAAGTTTTTGTCTATCCATTGTGCCGTAAGATTAGTCACGCTAACGGGGCTAACATTTGACGTTCACGTCTGTGGTAAAACTCACTCAAGTGCAATCAGCTATTAGCTTCTCAATGACGTCGGAAATGACAGCTTGTAACTTGGGTAAGGCTACGTCCGGAAAAATATCTCTGACTGGGGACGATGTAGCGAGGCTCAGTGTTGTCCAAAAATCTTTAGAATCAGACATCCTCAACAGAAAAAAAAAACCTTCCACACCACCGAAATTTTGACTTCTTCCTCTCCGCCATGATCAAATCAGGTAGGCGCGCGTGACGTCATCACGTTGTGCTGCCGCTGCAGGCATCCTTGTCACTGGGTTGTCATACAAAAACAGCGCCTTTTATATGGGTGTTATTTTGATGGTATGGCCGATATCTGATATTTAACTTTAACGCTAATATCGGCCGATACCGATACCATGCCGATAATATCGTGCATCCTTAATTTGAAGCACTGGAGAGGGAAGCAGCAGCTTAAAAACCCATATAAATTCATTTTTAAAGCAAGATTGCAATTTTCAACTATTTTCACAGAACATAGATGCTTATTTTGTATATCTCTATCACCTGTATAAATAAATGTTAAATGAATGAATATTCTGCTGGACTTTAAAGTAGAGCCACTGCTCCTCCTCATGGAAAAGGGTCAGCTAAGCTTCTAGGCACCAGTTTTTCAGGCTGGGCTGAGACCTCACATCAGATTCAAAGCTCACTTTCTGGTTTGGTCATGCTTGGGATCTCCTGAAGGAGCTGGAGTGTGTTAAATGTCAGGGACTCCCTCCTGAACCTGTTGCCTCCACAACCCAACCATGAACTCTTGCTTTAACAAACGGATAGAGAATAAAGAGATCTGGATTTGAAGAAAGTAAGTTTTTCACCCTTTTTTGACTTGGCTCCTATCTTCAACTTGGAGGGCCATTTCACCTGAGTGTCTGTTTCTCTCATTACCTGCAGAAGAAACAAACAGGTGCTGTCATTGTATGCACAGTCAGAACGCAGGCATTCAAACACACAGAAGATGTAAGGACACAATGCTTCATTTGCATTTTAAAGACTGCAATTACCACTTTTATAAACGTGTCATGACTTTATGCAAACTTTGAAACAAATACTGAGCCTGTTTTCACTCATGTGTGAGTTAAGCTGGGGACTGTCAGTGATTACCACAGGATAGAGAAGAGTTTTCTTTGTTCGTTTGTCTTTGAGTTTGCTAATAAAACAAGATGCTTGACTCACTCTCTCGAAAAACTCTTCTCCTGTCTCTCTGTCTTCTTGTTTAGGAGCTGAAAGAGACCAAGCAGAAGAAACACAGATTAAATCCCAAATCTCCAGATTGAAACTGGAGGTGGATTTATCTGTAAAGGCTGAGCTGGTCAACAGCTTTTGTTGTTTTGTTCTCTGCACAGATTTTCAGCATAAAGCGGGTCAGTGTAAACATGTACATGCTCAGTGTTGACTCGGTTGAAATACTCCAAGTAAGTGGAACAAGAGGTTTCTGGAAACATCAACAAATTTAAAAGGCCATCGCTCCATGGTGACATTTACAGGGTTTGCATGGGGGGAGCACTGAGAAGCCCCCCACCCCCCATCGTCATCACTACGGGTTACGCTGGCCGGAGCTAAAGAATGGGAAGACAACAGTGTGAGGTGGTGGTTTGGGAAGACAATCACAAATTAAGCTTGAGACAGCAGTGGCATTTGCTGATGCAAAAATCTCCCCAATTACCCACAAAATTTAAACATTTATTGTGAAACTGAGAATCCACCTCAAAAGCAGAAAGAAGCTTAAAGATCTAGCATTTCTTGAAAGAATGCATACTTCTCTCCACATTTTATAGCAGTTTTAAACTAGGATCATCTTATATTTAGAAATGACTGAGTTCAAGCAAAGATTAAATGTGAGCTCAGTATTGGTTGAATTGGCTCAGTTGTAGCCTTTTGTTGTGTTCTGCAAGGGACATCTTGAGTTGAGTTAACTAGATGTACATGTAAGGATTACTTCCTGGATGTTTCATTACAATTAGTGAAACGGCTAATGAGTTATTTCGTGAAAAGATTGACTGCCTTAAAATAAGTAATGGAAAAGTTATAAACAAAGATCTTGCGCAATCTGGCAGTGCTCAGAAAGTATGTTGACAGTCAGCCTCAGGTACTACCACACTAAAACATAGCTCAACATCTCTAAACCTTACAGAGTTATAACCATTTCGGTGTGTTTTGACATCAAGTGACTGGGGCAACCATGGTGAATCATGGTGGCTCCAAAAATTCATCAGCTGTAGATGCACATCCAATGACCTGAGTTCCATTAAAGTTCATCCAGTTGTTCACGAGATATTCTGGCAGCAATCACACACACACAGTCCAACGTGCAAAAGCATGATCACTTTATTGTATTTAACGCTTCAGTTTTAGCCAAAGGTCATCTGCACACCTTTACAAACAACCAGCAGTTATCAGGACTGAATTCACTAAAGCACCATGTTATGAGCAAACATGATCTCCTGCAGTCTGCAAAGTCACAGAGTTCCCCTGGTGACACAAGGGAGGCATTTGTCATAAACCTGCCAGACAGCGATAACTAACAGAGGCAGTTACCTCTGCTTCCCAGACAGGCGGGATAAAAAGACTTCTGAATGCATAATCCACTGTGGGTCATAAATCAAAACTCTGCAGCAACAGGAGTTTAATGTGTGGCATCTACTAATAGGAACAACAAAGGTGCAGGCAGCTGGAGGCCCTGACAGAGGCGGGTTCGGGTGATAACGAGGGTCAGCACACATGGGAGGCAGCCATCAGAGGGAACTTGTTGAAAATGTGGTGAAAGCATCTGACTCACCAGACAGCATGGTTTCAAGCTTCTTCCGGTTAATCCTGAACCTGTCCTCCACCCACTCTGGATCTGAACTCTGCCCCACAGCAGCCGTTCCTCTTTCCTTCTCCTCTTCCTCATCTTCTTTCTCCTCTCTGAGCTCAGTCTTTGTTGTTGAGCCGGGTTTCGTGTTAGTGTCCATATCAGGCTGCTGGGGTGCTGCGGTGGCCGAAGAGACAGGGGAGCTCATCTCCATGATGTTGGTGGCCGAACGCAGGACTGAGCCTTCGTCGGTGTTTGTGTGTGAGGAGTGTTTGTGCATGTGTGTGACCAAGGAGACCAACAGAGGGAGAAAAGAGGGGGACAAGAGAAACACTCCCCCTGTTGCTTTTCTTTAAATCCCTCTCTGTCTCCTTGCGTTCAGGCTCCCACAGACTCGAGTGGACTGTGAGCCGCGCAGAAACTGTGCGCACTGTCCGCAGAGGGTTGAGACTTCATACTCGAGCGTCCACCCTGAGCAGCTGCAGACCAGCTACGCAGGCAAGGGGCGTTTACCTTCGGGACAAATTGAGTTTGCTGATTGGTCATTTGCTGACACGCCTACTGGATTGATTGACAGGTCGCCAAAATAAAAACGAGAGCTGGCAGCCCCAGCCGCAGTGGTCTTCTGTGTTGTTATGTGTTATATATTTTTAATAAAATGTTCTAAACAATTAAAAAAAACTAAACATATCAAACTGGCCCACCAGGAAATCTCCAGACCCTCTCGCAGCCACGCTGGGCCTGATTTTATATTGCTCATGAAAAATTCCTTCATTTATCACAATTTCAGTAATTTTGTCAATGGAGGAGGAGGAAGAGATCGCTTGCCTCTTGGAAAAAAGAAAAGAAAAGGCCAGATCAGGAATGAAGAAGGGGAATTTAATACATTGGTGTCACATACAAAACAGTCTGTCGCCAGGCAGTTTATTGTGCGACACCAAGTACGCATATGTAAAAACTGATTTTTGCGTGGACATGCCCGGTGGGCGTCCGCTTCAAGTCTGAAGGCTGGCACAAACTCAGGCGGACCTCAGTCCACAGAGGTCCACTCATACCAGATTAGACTTGAAGCAGACGCCCGTAGGGCATGTCTGCGCAAAGATCAATTTTTACGTACACGTACTCGGTGTCGCACAATAAACTGCCCAATGACGGACTGTTTTGTATGCGACACCAATGTATTAAATTTCACTTTTTCATCCCTGATCTGGTTTAATGGTCCCCCCCCCCCCCCAACCAAGAGGTAAGCGATCTCTTCCTCCTCGTCTGAAGACGCCATGACAGAAATTGTGAGAAATTAAGGAATTTATCACGAGAGAATTAAAATCAGGCCCAGCGTGGCTGTGGGAGGGTCTGGAGATTTCCTGGTGGGCCGGTCTGATATGTGGGCTGCAGGGTCAGTGCTCCCTGTTTTTTGTTTGTTTTTTTTACTTTGTATTAACAACATATAAACACAGAACACCACTGCCGCTTGCTGCCAGCTCTCATTTTTATTTATTTATTTATTAGCGACCTGTCAATCAATCCAGTAGGCATGTCAGCAAATGACCAATCGGCAAATTCAATTTGTCCCAAAGGTAAACACCCTTTGCCTGCGGAGCTGGCTGCAGCCGGTCAGGGTGTACATTCAAGTATGAAGTCTCAACCGTCTACAGTCAGTGCGCACAGTTTCTGCGCGGCTCACGGTCCGCCCGAGTCTGTGGGAGTCTTAATCCGGTACGCGCGGACCTCCGTGGACTGAGGTATGTGGGAGCCATTAACTCTTTCGTTCCTCCTTCCAGCCATTTGAGACTTGGAGGATTTGCCTGCAAGGATGGTTAAAATCAGTCCCTTCTCCTGCAGTGTCTGTTCCATCCCAGTGATTCCAGAGAGACTGACAAAAATCAACAACTTCAGAGTTTCTCTGAGTAAACCTGCACTAATCTTCAGTTCAACATCTACAGATGATCCGGATAGAAAAAGAAGAGCTATGAAGAGACGGAATAACATGTACCAACAAGTCACACACACAGGCACATCATGGAAACTAGCTTCACAGCAGCACACACAGCTAACAAAACAACCAGGTCATAGTCGTCCATTGCACCTCTGCTCTGACTTCCCTCCCCTTCCTCTAAAATGAGACAGAAGGCTTCAGATTCCAGTCTCAGCTGAAGAAGCACATGCAGAGGGGTGTGTTATTGCAGAGATTGGAGTTATCACCAATGCTTGGGATTAAAACTTAATCCTGATTTGCGGAGATGAAGTATGCTCAACTTGACCATGTACAAAGTAAATCATGCATGAACAACAGTAAATATGGCACAATATTTTTAGAAAGTTAAAAACGATCAAGAACACGTGACATCATCAAACCAGGTGTCAGCCATGTTGGAGGTATAACAAGAGCCACAAAGAAATGAGCATTTAACTCGTCTGTTGAACTCTTTTTCCTCCAGACTCACAAATGTAAGTATTTGAGATAGAAAATGTGAGGACGCTCAAATCAATCTGACCTCCACAGTTATCCAAACTACAAAAAGTTGTCTCAAACAGACGTTTATTTGGTCCCAAAAAAGGTTTGTTGGGACCTGGTTGGCCTGAAGAACACAGTTTTTCTGCTGCTGAAACAGCAGCCGTGCAATGATTTGGCTTCTGATCAGAGGAATAAAATTTTTTTGAGAAAACTGGTTTGAAGAATTAGTTGTTAAGTAAATACTTAAACTTGATGGTTTAACAATCTAAGATAATTAATCAGTGAAGGGTTTATTCTCATTCCTCTAAAAATCAAAAGAATCCTTTGGACAGAATGTTTTTTCCTGTCCAGAGCCTTTACACTTGCACTTGAGTACAGATCAAAAATGAAGCAGATAAGTAAACTGAATAGTGAATAGTTTTATGGTATAACTTTATTCATGTTTCATAAAAATCATATAATTCAATTCAAATTCAAAAATACTTTATTAATCCCAAAGCAAAATTAAATGTTATAACTCGTTATCCTCATTTCATTAAGAGGTGTTATAGATGCTGATGGCTATAGGAAGGAAGGATCTTTTGTAAAAGTCCGTCCCATAATGGATTCAAAGAAACTGGCCACAAATGCCATCCAATCCATCCACCCAGACTCGACTGGCCTCTCAGTTCCCCCGGACTGCAGGACTGCACAAATGCTGAGCAGAACTCTTCCCAGCAGCCTGCCGAGCTCCTCGTCACTGTGGACAGCCGGCTGCAGGTGCGGGGAATGATCCTGGTCCTTCCGCTGTCATGAGCCGCATTTCCTGCCATTTCCAGGATCTCAGTGGTCAGGCACTAATAAAGCACAGCCGGCAAGTAGACGGGAATGCCTCTATGGCACCTCCTTTTCAACTCACTTGAGATTTGGGGCTGTAGCTGAGATATTATTTGAGCTTTTGAGATGTTAATCAGCTGCTCCCAGTTGTAAAACATCACCTTGTTGTTATGGTTACGCATCATAACAAATGTTGAAAACTAAAAAAGTTTTGGTAAAAAAACAGCATCCGATACCAGAGGAAACAATCATCCAAAATAAGAGATTTACATCCAGAAAAAGAGGAATTAAAATTTCCAACAGCAAAATCTCAGAATGAATGTAACAGAGCTGCTCCAACATACAGCCACCCCGAGCGATGCAATTATAGAACTTATATATATATATATATATATATATATATATATATATATATATATATAGTCCTAGAGGCTCCATGGGACTAACCTGTTTAAATAAAGGTTGAATGAAAAAAATATAATCAAATAAAACTTAATTTGATTAAAGGGTTTTATTTGGTTATGTTTTATTTTTTCCAGAAGCATTGATGGACATCTGAACCAACGGCAAATTAAGTGTCCGAGAGTGAAATAATCAGGAATATTTCAGGTCAGAGTAAATGTCAGAGAAACTTGATCCGGGCAGTTTTGACATGTCCAAAACAGATCAGGAGTTTCTGGAAAAGAGTGTCCTTCATGATACATCTGCCTCTGTTTTACCTTCATGGTGATGCATCCTGGCCTTTTGGAATTTGCTAACGTCAGTGGAAACTCTAAACTACTTGTTTATACACCATCAACAACATTTTATTGTTAAAGCTAGAAAATCTCTTTCTTTAAAACATTTGGCTCTGGGAATAGGGTTCAAGTTTTTTTCCCAAAGGGTCATAAAATGATCGAGAATTTGTATTTGAATGATGAGTGCTGAAAGATTTTGCTGAACTTTGTTGAAAACTGAAGTGCAAAACTTTGTCAAATTGAGTCAAACAGAAGCTAAAATCAGAATAACAGTAAGTAAAAGTTAAATTTGTAAAACTGTAGGTTAAAGCTAATATTAGCAAAACTACAGATTAATATTAGTCACAACAAAAAGCTAAATGTCTTGAACTCTTGCTAAAAGCTACAAGGAGCAATAGCCAGAAACTAAATATAGGAAAATTAGCAAAAACCTAAAATTATTTAAACCAGAGATCAATGTTAAAAGTAGATAAACAGTAGAAAAAACTTGTAAAAGATAAGGTGAGGATGAAAAACTGACAATTCTTTATTTCCTCACTTTGCTACACGTTAAAACTCTCATTAGCTCTGACTGAATCAATCCTGGTTTGTAAGACCTCAACACGTGAGGGTTGAATCCGTTTAATCACATAATATTTAATCATAAGTCATCAATAACTAAATTAAATTAGTCGTTTTAATATTTCATCACTAAAAAAACAACTAAATCAAAATAAAATCAATAAGTAAACAATTAAGATCAACCAACAATTAACATAAAAATAAAAATGAACACAAAATTTGGGAATATTCTACATTTTGGCACCAAGGAGTCACTCTAAATCATTTGAACGTGCTTTAAGCAATTATATTTATTTTACAGTGATTTGCCAAGAATATAAATACCCATTTAATGATCTAAAATAGGATTTTAAAATAAGTTTATCTAAAACGGAAGCATATAAGTTAAATTAAATGTATAAATCATTGTTAACAACGCTGCCAGATTATCAAATTAATCAGGAAGCATCAGATTTGAAATTAAATTTATGACTTGTATCAGCCTAAAGATTTATAAAAAATATATACTGTATATATATATATTTTAAACACACATTCCTTATCTGAAATCACCAGGTAAAGATGGACTCTTACCAATTGGAAGATGGGTGGACGATTATCGACTCCGTCTGTCTGGGTTCCCACAAAGAGCTGAGCAAACCTGAGCAGCACGTGAGGAGGAAGCTGGAGGCCCAAATCTCACTGGGAACCAGTTTCCACCAAGGCTGACTTGAAGGTGATGTTTTGGAGAAGAGTCTTGGGTGGTCAGGAGACTCGCAGGCTTGAGAAATTCTTTTAAAGGTACAGAAGTTATCTCAACTTGTTTGTTTCTTTTGGCAGCTTTTCTCTTTATTTCCCTTTTGCCTGATGGAC